CCGTCCAAACCGGAACTGTCTACGGTCAATATTAACCGATATATCGCCCTTTCAAAAGACGGGTTTTTGACGTCATCCACCGCGGTAGTGACACCCTTGGTTTCTTCTATCTTGCTTTCATCCTTGTTTCTCGTTGAATAACCAGTGCTGATGTGCGTCACGCCGACTGATGAAAGCAAGGTGAAAGAATCCGAGGACGTCAGTACCGCGGTGGATGACGTCAAACCCGGATTGACCGCTCAGGTACTCACAGCAAGTGCCGACATCACTATGAAAATCAGGAGTGGTCAGTGAAAGGTTGTGCACTGTATGGAAAAAGTGCGGATACTCGGAAAAAGCACGGATATTGGAAGGTCAGTACGGAAAAGGTACGGATTTTCCGCGTAGATGTTCGGAAATTCGAGATTTTCGTGATAAACTCCATAAAGTACCCTGGAGGATATACGACCTAACAGTATCCTGTATCAAGATTCCAGGTTACGTTAGGTTCGATTCGTCGAGTCTTTCGGTATTTTCGTTTGTCATTCCATCATTCCACTTTCCCTATCTGAATACAGTTAAAAGTGCAAATGGGTGATTTCACGATATCGGGAATACCTAAAGAATGCAACTACCTAAAAATAAAATGGCACCAATTCAAACAGGATTTCATTTCCTCATTTTAGAGGTATTAAACTTCCTTTTTCCAGCCTTGGCAAGCTCTACTTTGATTCAGTACAACGTTATAGTGATCGAAACACGAGCCATTGAATCGGGTATCAGCGTTTCCCGAAGGACCGCTGCAGGTCCACGCAAACATGGCGGCCCCTACGTAATCGACACTTGAAAATGTGAAACAAAAGATGATACAAAAGATGAAACTTTGCAATTCTTGAGTTATGAGGTGGTATTAATGTTGCCTTAAAAGTTTTTTAAACTTTGGAGACTTCCCCTTTTAGTTTAATAATACTAAATTGGGGATTTTGTGTCGTGAGAAATTAGTGCTACAGACCTGAAAATCACTGGTTTTCATAAAAATTAATGTTTTCTTTGTAAAAAAAACTGAATTATGGTTTGGTCGAGAAGACTTCAGCGAACAATTTGATGACAGCTTTGAAACTCCTGACTTAATCTGGCGAGACGGATTTTACACTTAATACAACTCCAAAATTTTTTTGCCAAATGTGGTGACACATCTTTCTAATAACTTTTCTTGCTTAATAATAATTATTTCAGTTCAAACTGTCAATTTTCTTAAACATTAGAGTCTTCTTACAGCAAATATTGCCAAAGAATTCATGATCAATACTGATTTATTACCGCAAATTGCTCTTTTGCTTCAAAATCGGGGTTGGCGACGCGTAACCTACCGAACACTTTCGGCCTTTAAAGTCTCATATAATGAAATATAATAATAATTTTTCATATTTTTTAGCATTGATAAGTTTAGGAACATCATTCCTATTGATTTATGAACCTGGTTTTCAATCGTTCTGCCTTATGTCTTTTATAACCCACGGCGACACAACTATTCCTCTCATCGTGAAATCACTCAAATGAAGTACGGAAAAGTAAGGAAAAGGGAAGAAAAAAACAAAGATTTTTTAGGAACGCCAACAAGGGGAAGTTTCGGGAAAGTAAGGAAAAAGCAAGGAAAAGTAAAGAAAAAGAAAGGAAAAGAAACTGAAAAAGCAAGGAATTTGAATGGCAGGGCACCAGTGGACGCCCCGCAGGGATGTCCAACAGGTGGAAAGACGAGGAATTTCGGTAATGGTCAGGAAATTCTTTTACTCGATGTTGCCTAAGGTGAAAAGTGAATGCGAGAAATCGATTGCCCGATGCCACCGTATCTTGCATTGCACTTTATTGTCAGTGTGAAAAGCGAAAAACGTGTAAGCAAATTGGCATTTTAGAGAAAGTATTCTTTCTCAATATGCGAATTTATCTTTTTGTATCGGTGATTGACTCATAAAAAAATGGTCCATTTTTCTCTCACCTTACTGTTAGAACCACCGAGACTTTAAGGAGGCTGTCGCGCCACAGAGCTCTCTGCCAGGGTAAGGATCGAAATGGGAAGGAGAGGACGAGTAGCCGTCGCACTTATACCGGAGCTGTCAATTTTTTTGAGGGGGGAGGGGGAAGGGGGGTGTTCAGTTTTTAAAAATGTGTCCCCTCTCTCCCCCTTGTAGTTTTCTACGCGGACATTGAAATGGGATATATCGCGTGCCAACGCGGTGAAAAAATCTGTGGTTCTTTTAAACCTGAGTTTTTAATTCTGGCTTCCAAAGCTTTCTTCAGCCACGCGAAACTCAGATTCTTCATCGGAGACAGTCAAAAGCTTTGATATGAGCCGAAGTTCGGTATCATTGGTCGAAACCTCGATTTTCTGGATCGAAAATTCCGGTGTTCCATAAGAACTCAATCCGTGAACAGAATCGTGTGATTATCGCTGCACACTCAGACTTGCAATTTTTAATAAGATTTACCCATTTGCTTAATTTCTGCTTATTCCAATATTATGAAGATTAGGACCGTTTGAATAACCTGGTAGATGAAGTTACCCAACTTCAAGCATTAAGTTCGTGGCTGCCGAGACATTTGTCGTCAGCCACGAACTTAATGCTTGAAGTTTTTTTTTTTTTATCACTGATTTGCATGGCTCCCAAAATGGCTCGTGACGTCATCCAGCGTGTTCGTGAAAACGTCTACTTTTAAGTATCGTTTTTAAATCAAGAAGTTAGTATTCGAGACCTTTGAATTATTTCGCCAATCCACGAGATTAGATCGTCAAAACATAATGTGTACTTTTCCGGAGAACGGATCTTGACTCCAATCCACAATTTTGCAAACGTGACTCCAATCCACAATTTTGCAAACGTGACTCCAATCCACAATGGACCACTTGACAAGGCACGAATTTAAGCAATCTGATACATGTTTCTTAACTAGAATTTCACGTAGAACACGATTCACACTACGAAAATTACCGAAATCAACTTCAAACGAAGATATTAACGTTTTTATTTCGCACTGATTACGAGGAATTTGAACTGCCCGCTCACAAGAAACTCAAAGCTCTACGTGAGTCAAATCGCGGACTACAACGGTTTCAGCAAGCTTCTCAACCGCGCAATGTTCATTTCCCACCATGTGTTTTTCAAACGATAAGCAATTTGCTATAGCTGAGCCAAAGCGTCAAGATTGAGGTTGCCAGATTTTTATATGGCAGAGACTGTCATGATAACGTTTAGCGCGCGATGTGAATCACGTAGAGCATTGAGTTTTCATGAGCGGGTGGTTTGAATTCACGCATCAGGAATCATTAAATATCTTCGTAAGGAGTTGATTTCGGTAATTTTCGTTGTGCGTATCGTATTTTACGTGAAATTTTGGTTAAGAAACATGCATCAGAATGCTGAAAATCGCACCTTGTCTAGCGGTCCATTTTGCAAACGTGACTCAAACGATTCAAATTTTTACGAAAAGTAATTTTTGTCCTAAATTTTGTCTATTTTTGCACGTAATTAGAAGAAAAGTCGGTGATACTTCCGAGGTGGATACACCCAAAAGTTTCCCAATATAACTTAAATTTATGAGTGGTAATTTTGCAACGTAGACATGTTGTTAATTCCTTTCGAGTCGGAAACGACAAATTCCTTGGCAAGTGCAATCGTGGCCTACGCCTGGATAACCACCTATACGCTTGTAGGTGGATATTCCGCCTCCCTGTCCATTCAAATTATTGTATCCTTGGGTATCGCTGATAAACATGACAAGTCGATTCCTCGATTATTCGACAAAAAAATCCAATTTTAGAGCTGTCAGGTCAGACTGAGAGGTTATAGTGCATCGAATAACCCACTTATACAAGGACCGGTATTTTTCCGCCCATGAACGTCATATGACAGTTACAAACCATGAATCTGTATTTTCAATCAATTAAGCAGCCATTTTTTCTTAAAATTTGGTGTTAGGTGGAATAACTAACTATAAACGCGCACCCGTACGCGTATCGGTGTTTTTATGTACATCAAGGCAATCGCGCGCTCCATCAACACTGGAAAAAAAAACATATTAGATCTAGAGCCCAGACTCTTGAAAACATTGACAAGAAAAAAGACTCTTGATTCGATCAGATTTAGGCTTAAATCAAAAGGAAATCCGCTCAAATTAAGAGGCTTGGTTCTTGATTTAAGCTTAAATCTGATTGAATCAAGAGTATTTTTTCTTGTCGATGTTTTTAAGAGTCTGGACTCTAGATCTAATGTGTTTATTTTCCAGTGAACGTCACAGGACAGTTGTTTTTCGTTTAGTGGCATTCTATGACTGTTGAAAAACATCAATAATTGTATTTTTTAAACAATTACTTAGAAATTTTACTTTGAGACTAAAGGTGGTAGGTTCACTAACCACCTATAATGGTAACCTATAATGGAGTTTTATACCTGTTTAAAATCAACGATTTTTATGTGAATTCTGAAATAATTTCCCAAAAATGCACAACCGATCGTTCAGAGGGTATATCTAATTACAAAAAAAATGCTTTCGCAGTTTTCCTGCGGCGCCAAATCAGCGACGCATCTAATAATTAAAACTTCAAATGCGATGTTTTCCCGCTATACTTAAGTGGTTATTCCAGCTATGGCCTCAATTATTAGCTTCTTCAAACCCTGGTTCATATCAAGGTAAGTGGAACGAAGGTATGCCTCTTCGCTTTAGACCATTCATAATCGACGGAATGTTCCGTTCCATTTGTTTTGTTTCAGTCTTAGCGGGAAGTTTGAATGAATATCCTGATTTTGCAATATTCAACTCTCATCGGACCAACGTTGCAAATTCTTTTAAACTGTCTGCCAAAACTGGAACAAAACGAACGAAACGGAGTGTTTATTAGTCGATTTTGGATGCTTGAATTAGGGAATAACGTATCTTTGTTGCATTTACCTCGGGTCTAACCTGTTGACGTTATTCAGTCAAAGCTACTTCTATATATTTTGTTCCCTTTTTTGGTCTGCCCACAGAGGAGGAAGAGGCTCCAGCTGACCTGAGCAAAGGCATCAAGTTTCGAAAACCTGTCAAAGCTTCCGGAGCAGAGGCAACTACAGATGAGCCTCCCAAAAAAATGAAGAAAAAAGCCAAGAGCAACGTCAAACTCTTGTCTTTCGACGAAGACGAAGATGACGAGGAATAAGTAAGTCAACTTTTAGATCTCATCTTTCTTTTTTCTCGAAAGGAGTCTAGTTTGAGTCGGAGTCTCTTTATACCAAGAGTAAAGACAATTCGAATCCACCTCTGATTGGTTCCCGTATTATAGGCCTGCACAGTGTCACAAACGGGAATAAAGATTACATTTTCACCAATTTCAGATATTATAAATTGGAATGGACCGGGGAATGGGGGGTTCGTCAAGGAACAAATGGAATGAGAGAGGGAACGGAAATAGGAATTCGGGGATGGGCTGGTCAAAGATTACAAAAAACGTTCGATTTGTGTAATCTTAATTCCCGTTTGTGACATCCATAAGCTGCGTCGTCTCAACTCTCTCTATAAAGGGACACTAGTTTGGGTCTACTGGTGGAGCGCCTGCAGCAGGGTTGTGAATCAAACCGCGAAGTCCGCTTATTCTTTCAAAAGCAAAATTCGTTTATGATGAGACGAAACCCTTCAAAATATTCAAAAACAAGGGGGGAGGGGCCTTGCCCCGAAGCGCCCGTTGAGGGTCCGCCGTAGCGGCCAGGAAGAATCTGGTTTCATATTTTTTTGGAGAAAATTAATCGGTTGTTAAAGCCTAAAAACTCCATTACCTATTCTAGGGTTCTTAAGATACTGAACATATTCGGCTATAGAATTTTGGGCGACCTGGTAAACCGGAAAATCTGAAAGCTTTCTCGAGAAGTACCCTGACTCGAATAATTAAGTGTGTATGAAACATTGTTTCTTTGTTTTTTGGCTTTTATTCTCCGCACGGAACCTACAGCCATCGCTAGATGATATGTAGTGTCTGTAGATATAGGGGCGGAAATGTTGTAGGCCTCTCCAATTGTCAAGGATTAAGGCCGAGTGGATATTTTTCAGCAGAACCACTCGTCGGTTCCCTAATAAAACCTCTCGCCACCACTGGGATTCGAACCCGGGACCTATTGACCCAGAGTTAGACGCCCAGACCACTATACGCCAACCTGGCCGTTTAAAACATCTCTTGATGGAAATTAATCGAGTGAACGTTAGGGGGACTCGGGGATTTGATCATGGAAAATTCATGGAAATCCTGTAACTGCAAAGCCGTGTGCGTGCGCCCGCTCCATCCGTAACGCCGAGGCCGTCATCCGGCAAGTATGCGTAGCGCCTACTCCCTTCACGGAAAAAAGCTTGACGAGCAGATTCCGTAGCGAAAGTTCAGTGAACTTGCCCTCGCCGGCTTTCTCACGAGACTCAGGTGGAAAACTATTCCTCCTCTTTTCATGCTGTATACCACTCGGCGAAGTCTTATTTTAAGTTCAGAGCTTTCTCCATCGTCGGATGAGACCCGTTGCTTTTCGTTGCCCGGCCCCTCAGCACTCACCGATGGATGATGATCCAGGGGTTGCTCTTTCCGACCGTGACGTCACGCAGTCCCGAGCGGAAATCGATATCCGCTCAGTTCGCCAACTCTGTCCCAGCGTTGCCCTTTTGAACTCGATACTCGGCGGCTCCGTGCCGGGTCTGGTAGGAAAGTGCTACGATTCTCCGCCGTTTCTGCAACCCTGCTTGTTATAATGTCGCCGCCCCCCGCTTCCTGCCCCTCTGATACCGAGACTTGACCCTCGGGAGGTAAAATTTGTTCGCTGTAAGTTGCCTTTTTTGTTCTTCGTTGATAGAGGTGACTTCCGCTGAAAATTCAGAAGGCTGAACCCTGTTGCGGAAAATTTTTAAGGGTGGCAGGGTTTGTTTTTTTTCCTCGTTAGTTTGACGTTCATGTTTATTCTTTTTCCTATACGTTCACTCCTTGGGTTATTCTAATTTTTTCTGTTTCGCTAATTATAAGAAAGTGGGAAACAGAGAATCTGGAAAGATTATTTTTGTATTACATGAGTACAAATAACTTTTTTCGGTATGAGCCAAGGACACGAGAGAGTGGCCCCTATCAATTTTTCGTATTGATTCCGAAAATGCCATCCGTTTTCTCACGTTACCCAAGGATTTTTCGGAAAAATGGGATTTTTTTATAATCTGGTCAATTCTAGAATGAAACTCATGTCATTCATTCATTTTGCGGCCCAAAATCCGAAGGTTTACACCTACCGCACGCTTACAAACTTTTGCCCTCTTTTCTTGATCAGAAAACCCCGGTCAAACGAGATCTACTTCGCCCATTTAGTGACCTTAAATCTCACTATACGCAATTCAGGAGGGGGTAAAGTAGAACGGAATACAATTTTCATTAACATTTAACAAACTTTATTTTACTGCAGTCGCCATCGCACCTAGAAAATCATGTACGCGTGTTTAGGCGCGTGACGTCACCGGTTACCTGTCTCATTTTATTTCGTTGGAGGACGAATGGCCATCGTTTTTGTTTCAAACTTCGTGCGATTCAACACTATTATTCTTTGTAAATTTCTTACTTGCACTTCGAAAGTTGGTTTCTGAAGAAAAAAAATCTGAACAAAGAACGACTCAGTAAAATATGCTTTAGGAAACTCTACGTATCATGCTTCAATATCTATTTTTTTGCGATTCCGATGGCCGGCAACGTTGCAATATATATTAATAATGCATTTTTTTTGGAAATTTGACAATGTTGCGATAATAATCGGTGATGTATCATACTCCATCGGCACAGTATGCAACGCTTGCATTAAGTTAAGGTGTAAGAAAAACAATCCAAACTTCAGTTAGTGTAGCATACGATGGATACTTAACGAATTGTGTCATAACGCCCGAATGCAACTATTCAGGCTCCATGGATGTCCGTGTTGCATACTCACTGAGATGAAGGCGTTTTTCAGACGTGAACCGCTTCGCCAGCGGCGCTCAGTGAAGCGAATCCATGAGAGAAATCCGACATAAAGTGGATACATTAAAATCTCACACCGATGTTATTACGGAACGTAGTGGTTTTAGAAGTGGTGACATCGATCTTCTCGTAAAATTTCCTTCAAGAAGCATCCCGTTCATTTCATAATGTGAAGAAATTAATAGCAGAATTTGCAGGAAGTTTACGTCCTACCTCCTCTGGAAGGCTCGCTTGATTATGCGACGGGCCTTACTGCGAGGATCTAAAATGACAGAGTGCCCGTAATGCTTTACTTACACTTTGAAGACATCTCTTAGACATGAATCGTTGTTGCTCTCCCAATTATGGTCTTTTCTCACCACCTCTTATCTTAGCATGTAACAGGTTTTTGACAAATTGAACGTAACTGAAAACCAATTTTTCTAGGTAAACTTCATTTTTAAAGTTACCCAGACACATCTGTATCGCCGCGAAATCGGACGCATCATCTCTAGATTCCGTGTTCACTCCTAGCTGTACTGCCGTGCTAAGAAAAAACACCGCATGAACATTTAGGTGTCGTCAAATTTCTGTTATAGTAAATCACGGATTTTCGAGAGCAATTTTAAGCATTTTTCTTTAAATTTGTTAGATAATTTTGTTCGCAATTTCACCTGAAGTTCCTGAAAATTTCAAGGAAAAATATGCAAAGCTTTCCTCAAAAATAAACATTCTATCGAAGGACATTTGGCAACTCTCGAATGTTCATACGGCGTTTTTCCGTAGCACGGCAGTGTAGCAGTGTCGATTGCTCCTCATCGCAGTCACGAGGTACAGCGCGACGTCAGCATTTTTCGTCTGCATTTTCTGCTACCAACAAGAAGACGTCACCGATGCGATACCGCAGTCCTACGTGACACATAATCACAACGTCTTAATCGCTGGCCGATCATTCGACTTACGAGAGGTGTAAGGTGACTTTTACAGTGAGAGAGAAAGAAATGTTCCCCACGTCACACAACACTACACATGTCAAACTTGACAAGTGCGACCGATATTAAGACGCTGTTGTTCTGTGCAGGATGCATTGGAGTCCCTTTACACCGAGAGTAAAGACAATGTGAATCCATTACTGATTGTTTCTCGTATTTTAGGCCTTCACAGTCACAAACGGGAATAAAGCTTACATTTGCACCAATTGCAAAGATTATAAGCTGGAATGGACCGGGAAATTGGCGGTACAGCAAGGAACAAATGGAATGAGAGAGGGAACGGGATGACAGGGAGAATGAGAATGAACGGGAGAGTCAGGGCCCGATTAAGGAGCCTGGCGCTCCAGGCTAATGATTTCTTTGCGCCGCGCGCCCCCCCCCCCCCTCCTTTTCTTTTTGCTGCCTCCGGGCCCAGAAAAGGGGCACGGGACGCATAGACTTACCAATTCCACAACTTTTTCCGCTCCTGATGACGAGGAATTTCTTTTTTTCTCCCTTCATAGTCTCGATAAAATTCAAAATTTGGCGCGCTGCAGGCTTCAGCCTGGCCAGCCTGTGCGGTAATCGGGCCCTGGGGAGAGAGAGAACGTGGACTCTAGAGTGGGTTGATCAAAGATTACAAAAAACGTCCGATTTGTGTAACTTTTATTCCCGTTTGTGACATCCATAAGCCGCGTTGTCTCAACTCTCTCTATAAAGGGACTCTAGGATGCATCAGAGACAAATAATTCGTCCGACTCTCATAGAAAATGAAGGTTCGCACCGCAAGAAAGGAGGGTCCATTGACCTAACCAAAATGATTCCTCACGAAGGGTCCACAAGCAAGGAAATTCAAGAAAATCGGCAAAATAGACCTGTTGAGGAGAGAGGAGGAGAGATGTAGACAGGCAACTCCCCTTCGCCTTTGCCATATACTGGAAAGAGGAACGTGAGGTTCAATAGACCTTGCGTAAACTTATTAACATGGTCCTTGTGAAGTTCGCCTTAAATTTTTCTGCATAGGCAACAAATATCGGGGAGCGCAAATAGTTATATATTCGAAGACTAGATTGGATTAAACCGATAAATGATGTTTTAACCGATTAGGAGGTATTTTCCAGCTGAAGTTCCACTTCAGTTTTTCTGCATAGGCAATAACCATATTGTGCAGCGGCGAACAGCCGTATTCGAAAATCATAGAATTATATCGCTTCATGAGCTTTGATAAAACCGGTAGATGTCTTT